CAGCAGCATCCTCTTCCTCCTCCTCGCAATAATGTACTCCATCTTTGTAGATCACGTTAAGCAAGAACATTTTAACATTTGTATAGGCAATCACATGAAGCACGTAAACCCTTAAGACACCGAACATAACTTACAATTTGTTGACAGCGTTTCTCTCGTGCGTGCGCGCGCTCTCTTTCTCTCTCGCAGTCTCACTCTGTTTCTTTTCTTTTGACTTTTCTAAGATGACAGATGCTGAATATTTACTCCCTATCTGATGCTGTGGCTGTTTGTGGTTGGCTGAGAGGGATGTGAACTCATTAGTTTGCAGCTGTATTAATCAAATCAGGTTGGGTTTCCATTACGTGTGCCAAACGTGCCAAACGGTGCCAATCCCCTTTGATCTGATCAGATGTGACGGGACAGTCGGTATAGAGATACATTTATGTGCTGATTGCAGATAGTTGCATTGAATAGTGGTTTTTGGGGTATTTATTGCATCGTTAATGTGCCTGACATTCTGGAAACCTGCCTGTGAGGTTTTGGTGACGTGTGCGCACTGTCCGCCGGTCAGCCAAACTTCTGCTACAACAGCTGCGCTCCCCCTGTGCTGACAGTAGACGTGGTTTCAGCTGGCGAGCTTTTAGCGCACCTCCGGCAAAGCCTTTTGGCACGAAACTGTCACTGTGCCAAGCTGGATCTGTCAACACCTCCCCCTGCTGCGCCGCCACACCCATCTCAGCGCACCTCGGTCTGCCAAACTACCAAACTGAGCGTGCCTCTGGTTGCGCTGCTCGAAACTAGCTCTGCGTGGGGTTCACCACCCTGCGCTGCACCAGGAAACTAGAGGCCAGAGTCTCCAAAGCACAGAAGAGTAAATTTGCTTCACATTTAGATGGTGTGTGTGTGTGTGGTCAGTTGGAAATGAAAAAACGAAACGGACAGTTGTATGTGTATATACTGAACACCATAAGGGATTTACTACTTGCTCTCCTCCTGCTGCCTTTTTGTTTTTTCCAAAAAATTGTCTACTATCCATACTACAAGACTAAGTAAAACGCGGTGACTCGGTGCAGGCCACCAGTGTGCACAATAAATACAATTGTAATACAGAGTATTGTAACAAGTTCTAATTCTGACTGCCCATATATGGGCATATGCCATGTAAGCTGGTGTGACAGTGAGTGTGCTGCTGTGTTGTTGTCTGTTGTGCTCCCGAGCCGTGCCATGGACTGTAAGTTGGAAAGGAGGTGCTTTATTAGACAAAACAAAGGTGAAGGTGTGTGGACACTCTACTAAATAAATGAGTAAAGAGACCGAGCAACAATTATCAGATTTATCTGAAGACAAAACAAATAGTAATGCAAATAATTATAGCATAGGCTGACCAAACGTCCTCTTTTGCCCGGACATGTCCACTTTTCACGTCC